GGATGTACTCACGACGAGTTTCCCTAGACTTATGTTGGCAATTCTTCAGATCCTAGGGGTTCCCAGGGTGCGTGTAGGTGCCCTGGAGATTTCCAACAAAGATCTCCTTCAGGTCCGCCCAGCTTTGAATCCGGTTGGGTGAAAGGTGCTCTAGCCATGTTTGTGCCGAATCGGCTAGGAACAAGGGGAGGTTGCGGATAATGAAGTAATCACTATCTGCACTGCCAGCTTGACAAGCAAGCCGGTAATCCTCGAGCCACAGGCTGGGGTTCGTTTCCCTAGAGTATTTAAGGATGTTGGTCGGTGATCGATACCGTGGCGGGAAAGCCACGTTGAGGATGTGTCGGGCGAAAGCCTAGGGCCTCGGTAGATTGGGGCACAGGCTCTAGTCCTCGCTGCTGTCCTCCTCTCTCTTGTACCCCCGTCCGCGCCTATGGGAGTCTAGGGTGTTACGTGCGTCATGGTTGGGGCCGAGACGCTCATGCACCGAGACCATGGCAAGCCCCCCACCATCGCGCGGTGCCTAGCGAACGGATACTTCCTGGCCATGTCATCCTGAAGACACGCGCTGACTGGCATCGAGCTTGCGTCACCGAGACAGCGAGCTTTCTGCCTGCCGCACTGCCGCACGCTCGAGCAGCGTGCGGATCTCACGATGGGCCCGATGGTCTTCGGGTGTCGCAGGCTTTAGGAGCCCTCAGAGCAAGGCCACCTCGGCAGCTATGTTCTGGCTTGCCCGTGCGAAGTACGGGAGGCCTCCGTCGTCCTCGATGATCCTCTGGTTTACCTCACGGGCGATGGCGCGCGCACGACCACTATCTCCATGGCGTTCGATCTCGCGCTCAAGCTGCACATGCTCCTGCTCCAGCTAGAGTCAAGCATCCTCGATCTCCTTGTGCTGTGCCCTCAGCCGCTCCACCAGCAAGCAAGACAGGCCCCTGCATCTCTCTCGACCTCGTCGTCGGGGTCATCCATAGGAGTAGCCCCTCCCTTGTGGACGCTTTCGATGCGTCCCTCGGGGGTGCCTACCATGAAGCATTCTCGCGAGGGGTGATGGCTTCCCCTACTAGAGTCAGAGTCGGAGATCGTCTCTAAATCTCCCATGAGGTCATGGAAGGATTCCGCAACGTAGTCCATCATACCCATGAATTCGTCATCCATGGGGGACGGGTGCATGCGCTGTGCCATGAGGTGACCAATGGTCCTTGTGGCGTTGCGCAGACCGAACAGGAACGCTGTCGGGGCGCTCCCAGTGAGGTATTCTGGGGAGAGTGGTTCCCCTCCGGCAAGCTGTGTCATGACGTTGGCGAACGAGAAGGTGAGGCAGCACAGGTCCTCCTAGGACGGTCGGTGTCCTAGGAAGGCGTCGAGTTGTCGCTCTAGCCTCATGTAATCGAAGCCGAGGAGCTGGTCACTCCTAGGGGCATAGACCTCCGGGGCACACAGCTGTAGCTCTTCGAGGGCCTCGATGGTTGCATTGAGGTCGGTGGAGCGAAGAAGTTGAACGGGGGCGGGAGCCCGCGCCAGCTCTTCCTCCATGGCGACGAAGAAATCTAGGCTCCTGAAGCGCACGTGCGTGCCCGGGATCCAGTTGACGCCGTGGCTAGCCATCCGTGGCCTGTTGTGGACGACGAGACACGCAAAAGGCCCTACCAGGTGCGCCAAATGTTGGTGTTTCAAACCACTGACTAGTAAGCCGGTCGTGGCGCTCCATTCTGTCCCGGTGGGTGGCATGGTTAGCAGGTACCCCCGTCAGAAGTCATACGGGGATTAGGTAGCATAGCGCCGGCACGCCCGACACTGTTGGTGACGTGAGTCCTCAGGTATGGCCCGTTGTGGCCGCGGGTCACGTCAAGATGCGTCTACTCCCTTTCTGGTGTTAGAAATTTGACCCTGGGTTCGTACACTTAGACCCGTAGTGGTTGGAGGCGGTATGGACCCCTGTCGGGCGAGGCGGAATGCCCCTTCGAGGGGTCTGGCAAGGCGAAGTCTGCGCCTGAGGGGTCGGGCGAGATGGAGCCCGCACCCTCGGGGTCAGGCGTGACGGAGCCCGCGCCCTCAGGGTCGAGCGAGACGGAGCCCGCGCCCTTGGGGTCGGACGTGACGGAGCCTGTGCTCAAGGGGTTTGGCGAGACAGAGCGCGCGCCCTCAGGATCGGGCGAGACGGGGTCTACGTCCTCGGTGTCGGGCGTGACAGAGCCCGCACCCTCGGGGTCGGGCGGGACGGGGCTGGCGCCCGAGGGTTCTGGCGAGATGAAACCCGCGCCCTCGGGATCGGGCGAGACAGGGCCCACGCCCTCGTGGTCAGGCATGACGGAGCCCGCACCCTCGGGGTCGAGCAAGACGCAGCCCGTACCTTCAGGGTCAGACGAGAACAAAATACGCTCTTGACCATCCGGGTGAGTTAGCGTTCACGGCCATCAGCTTCCTTCTTCTAGGTATCCCTAATACTGATACCTGACATGGATCATACGCCGGGCCGATGCTGAAAATGCTTATCACCACCGGTGGACCAACCAGAAGGGACCTCTTAGGCCAAAAGCTGGCAATGATAATTATCACCGACAGTTGTCTCGAAACCGTTGGTGAAAGCCACGACGGAGATTAAACTTTCTGTAGTACTGTTTCTTTCTCTCTCAGGTCCAAAGACCTCTCTTCTTGTATGATATCTAGAGTCTCAAACTCCTTAGGCCCGTTCGGTTGTTCCAGAATATGCCGTTCTGCGCTAGGATCCTTTCCACGCTAGTATAAATTAGTGAAGAAATTATTCAGCTTGGAATCAATCTAAGGTAACCGAACGAGGCGTTAAGGAGTTCCTACTTTTGCTTTCTAATACTAGCATTAATATTAATATCCCAACCCTTAATTTTCTTCCTTAGCAATCTAACCTTAAACTGCCAGATGTCCATAGGGTCATCATAGGCACAGGGAGTTTCCCAAACTCCCCCCCCCCCCCAAATTATTATAATCTGGTTGCTCAAGCCACCATTTCTCATATCTAAAAATTAATGCTATGTTTTTTAGACTCAGACACACCTAGATTCAAGATCAAAGGGACATGGTCACTGCCCACTCTAGCCTTAGCAGTCACAAATGCCAGGGGGAACTTCCATTCCAATGTAGTTGTGCAAAACATTTTATCTAAGGCTACCATAATAGGCTGGTCTTGATTATTTATCCAAGTATAAGATCTAGTAGAGTTCTTAAGTTCAATTAGACCCCATTTATTTATCAAATCCAGAAAGTTACCAGCACATTTCTGGTTGACTTGACCATTACTTTTTTGTCTAGCTGTTGTAACAATATTAAAGTCACCACAAATTACAGTTGGGCCATCCAGTTATCTAGAAGCCCCTCTAATTCCAGTAAGAAATCCATTTTACCCTCCGCATAAGGGGAGCCATATACCACTATTAGTCTCAAGACAAAATTATCAGACTTGCTAGCGCCCGGACGTCTAATCTGGGGCACTAGCATCCGGACGGTGCCACACAGAGAGTGAACGAGCGCCCTAGCACGTTGCGCTCATGAGAGAGCACCCAGCAGCGGGCCCGCGTCGTCCTGGACGTCGCCCATGCCGTCACGAACATCGCTTACGCCACCAGCCGCTTCCCACGCGCATCCCATGTGCAACATCCGATCTACTTTTAAAATATCTAGATGCAACAGTTGCAACATACAAAAGAAAACAGATGAAACACTTGAAACAAGCATATGAAACACTTGCAAAACACATAAAAAACACTTCAAAACCATTGTAAAACATACACAGCATCCAGATAAAACATTTGCAACATACATTAAAACATAAGCAACATACAGATAAACACACTTGCAACACTTGCAACATACGTCTGAAAAAACAGATGAAACATTGGGAACAAAAGCTTACAACATATGTGTACAACCATTGCAACACATGCAACATTTGGATCTACTTTTGCAACGTCTATACAAAACACTTGCAACATATCTTTGAAACATCTGAAACACTTAAAACAGACACTTGCAACATGTGTTTTTAGCACAATATTATAAAGGACTAGTAGAGTCATCGAGGACGAGCGGCGTGGTGGCTCAGATGCGGCGCCAGGGCGGCGGTGTAGGCGGCGTCCTTGATGGGGAGGCAGGAGACAATGTTGGAGAGTAGCACGTCCTCCAGGCGGCTGATGCAATCCTCGTTGGCCTCGGCTTCATCGACAACGGAGCAGGCGGCTGCGGAAATGGAGCCTTCGGCAGGTGAGGGAATGTGATGGGCTGGGTGGGGATGCAGGCGAAGATTTCTTCCATGATGCCATGGTCCCCCGTGGTGGCCATCGCTGTGGGCTACAGTGCCGGACCGGAGAACGGAGACGGTTTTGGTTGGGGAGGTGTGGGATTGGTCAGTAGGTGGTGATGGAGTGGATGGTGCCATGGTGGCCATCGCCGCGCCGCGAGGATGTCCCACTTGGGCACTCAACTCGTAGGGTTTCAGTTCCAATAGGCAAGTGGAGAGTTGGGCCGTTGAACTGGTGTCGTGGCTCATCAACAGAAGCTTCCGGACGGATGGACCTCCTCAGCACAGCATTACTGTAAAATTATCTGACAATTTTTAATGATCCCAGCTACACTAAAAGAGCCATTTTTCCAGGCTGTTACCTCAAACTTCTTCTCATTTAAGCCTACCAAGATACCACCAGCAGTACCATTGGCAGGTAGAACTTGCCAGATAAAACCCCTGTTAACATATGAGTCATTAAAAGATTCCTTCTTAGTTTCTTGATACCCGCAGAGTGTAATTTATTATCATTCACAAAACCAATGGTTCTTTGTTTTGGGCTTTGCCTGTAGAGACAACTTGAGCCCAAGACCGTCTAACAAGTTCACTTTTTTCCTTTAAAGGAGTTTGGTTTTCAGCATTCAAAGCTGGAAAATCAATAGCTATTTCTTCTAAGTTCAGATCCCCAGGAAGGTTAACCTCAGGGTTAACACACCAGTAATCAATCTTCCAGCACTGGTTGTCACACTCGGACCAATGCCTGAGAGTTCCAGCACTGGTTGTCGCACTCGGACCAATGCCTGAGAGCGACATTGGTGCCATGGTCCTTGTCATCCAGGAAGACATGGAAGTTGAGGTTGATGCTATCCAACGGGCGGATGCACCGGAAGCCATGCTCCACATCACAGCTCTCCGTCCACAACACCGACTTGTCCACGTAGTTCGGATTGTACGGCACGAGCTTCACCTTTGGAACATAATAAACAAGCAAGAAAAGAAAACCTTGATCAGTTAAGCCTGCGGTGTGGTGTGATGATCAAATAAAGATCTGACAAAGGTGCATATATAGTTGCTTATCGCAGGGTGGTCTGTTGATGAGAGAGCGTTAATGCGTATCGGTTTGGTACCGGAGAAGAACTTGATGGCCTCGCCACTGAATCTGTTGATGAGAGCGAATCCGAGATAGCCTTCCTCGTCCTTGATTCTGTTTCCGTACCTCGTGTCCTTGATCCAGTGCTGGTACTTGTCGGCAGGGTTGCTGGGCACGAGGCAGACAGCACCGTCGCGGACTGCGAGGCTAAAGCCCTCGCCACCCTTGTTGTGGATGCGGCAGGTGGGCATGGCGTAAAGTCCGCCGCAGGTCGCATTGGCTTCGTCATCCCAGTAGAGGATCTTCCAGCTCTGGGTATCGCTCTCGGCCCGCTTGGAGAGCACCACGGTGGTGCTGTCTGTGTCTGGCATATGCACGCCACCACCAGCACGGATGGCGTCCAAGCCCAGGCTGATGTCATGGACCATGCGAATGTAGCCGAAGTCCTTGCCCAAGTCGCAGCTCTCCGTCCACAGCAACGACTCGTCATAGTTGTCCGGGTTGAACTTCGCCAGCCTCACCTGAAATCAAGGGCCCCAGACACTTCATTCCAATCTGCATTCTCCATTGACTCAAAGAACAACTACATATGGACAATAATCGAAGCAATAACAGGAAGAGCATAGGGAAGGTTACCGGGTGGTTCATGCCAAGGGAGTGCTTGATGGCAAGATTGGTTGCTTTGTTGACGAGGGAGAAGACAGGGTTGCCCTCCTCATCCTTCATCGCTATGCTGAGGCGCGTGTCCCTGAACCAGTGCTGGTGCTCGTCGGGGGAGTCGGCGGGGACAAGGGTGCCATCACGGAGGGCGAGGCAGCACCCCTCGTCGGACTCGGACTTGCAGAAGATCTTGAAGGTGGGCTGTGTTAGGCTACAGTTAGCCTTCCGACCACCGAGATGATCTTCAGACCACTACAGATAGCTTCCAGACTACCGACCAGGCCTCCAGACCACTACCTGATAGCCTCCAGACCACCGTGATAGCCTCCAGACCACTCCGTTGGTCTCACAGGATCACCGGCTCACGACAGTGCCACTGCAGCCGATCTTGCCGACCACCGGCTCAGGCGAGTGGAGCACTTGTCGGTCTCGCCGAGCACGCGCTAGTGTTGCCGAGCACCCACTAGCCGTGCAGACCACGTACCGGCATTGTCCGTACCCACACACTACGGATCGAGCTAGAAGAGGAAGGGAGAACAGAGCAAGCACGCACAATACAAAGCAACAAATAAGTAAAGCCCCGTCTGTGGTGATGGCAAATCGAGCTCTATTTACTTGAGTTGCCATACATGTCTATTTATACAACTCTAACTATCTAGTCCATATGCGGCGCCATCATCTTGTACAAGAAACTAGATAACTTGATGGGGCTGACTCTGCTGGCCTTTGCTTCGTCTCTCTGAGCTTTGCAGGTGAGCCGTCTGGCGCCTGCACTGCGCAGCTGCTCTTGTATCACAATGGGGGACAAAGTCGGCGCCGCCTTCCCTTGCTGTGTTCACACACAGCAGGCAGCTAAGTCGGCGCTGCCTTCCTCTGCTGTGTTCTCACAAGGTGGCAGTAGATTAGCTAACAATCTTTCCCTAATCCTACTCATCTCGGTGGTCGGGAGGCTAACTGTGGGCCAACAAGTGGTATCAGAGCAAGCACGCACAATACAAAGCAATAGCGTTGGCCGAAGCCCTGTCTGTGTGATGGCAAATCTGACCTCTTTTTACTGAGTTGCCATACATGTCTATTTATACAACTCTAACTATCTAGTCCATGTGCAGTGCCCATCTTGTACGATAACTAGATAATCCGACGAGGACTGACTGCTGCGGCCAACCACTGCTCTCTCTGATCTTGCGCGGTGAGCCGTGCGGCGTGTTCTCACAAGGTGGCAATAGATTAGCTAACAGGCTGGTGCACGCTGCTGATACCATCTCTGGCAGGATCAGGGTGCGTCTGCACGCACCGGCCATGGCGACTCTCATGGTTGTCACTTCCTTCTTCCCCATGAAATGTGATTGCATTCTTCTTCTGGGGAGTCCCTTTCTTGTAGCCGGCTGGTGTCCCTTTTCTCCGGGGGTACGAAACAAAAGCTGGTCCAAATCCTTTTTGAACCCTGCTCAACGAAACATGTCCCAATATCCACGTGGCCAACTACCAAGGGTTTCAAATTACCATTATATGTTCGTTCAGTTTTAACCTGAACGGTGGTGATAAATAGCTTATCTGGAGAACCACCGCGACGGTTATAATCACCACCTAGCATAGTTCAAAAATAGGCAATCACAATAGATATGATGAACAGTTTGCAGAAACTCAGAGCTCTTAAATGAAAAGGTGCTAGAAATTAATAATCACCTTGCACCACATAAAACATAATGGCACCAGAGATTGTGTCTTTGCCAACATAATCAAAGCACGTTCTATCAATCTCCCAAAATATACGCCATGAAAACGGCCGACTAATCTCATCACCGAGGTAGTAAGAATCACCTTGTTCAGTTATCTCATAAGCAGCAAATCTCCCATCTCTGCATGTGTAAATAAAACCCTCTACATATAAAGATCTCCCTGATAGAAGTCCATCTATGCGTTGACAGATCAAGCAAGAAACAGCTATTTGTGTCAGCATCAGAAACCATGAAGGAATCTTCACTTAAGACCACATATCCAGACAGGTCAATCTTCCTTTTCAGATCGACAGAACCATGTCATGTGTACTGCAATGCATCCATCTGTTTTCGGGAGGCTTAGACAAAATATAGACATACTCGAGAGAATCACTTATCGCAACGATCCTTCTACCAACATTAAGAACATGAGCTATTGAATCAAGATGAACAGGTTTTCCTGTGGGAGAATGGCTGATGGTTCCCGAATCCAAGCTGCACCTATAGATTTCATTTTCTCTGCTTGGGACAGCACATATGAATTTCTGCCACAAACAAAATGCCATGATAAAGGATGCTCCATCAGATCATACTCATCATAGATATAATAACCGTGTCCACAGCGCAATGTGGTGTGACTGTGTGAGAGTCTTGCCTTGGCAACCCAATCTTCCATCCGATATAGTGATCTTATACACAGTTGAACGAGAAGCAACTTGGCAAATAATATATAGAGCTTTGTTGATCTGGATAGCAGAGTCATCTAGCACAAGAGAATGGCAATATGAAATCCCATTTAAGATCCTCCTGTACAAATTTCATAGCACAAAAAAGTGGCATTCAAAATCCCATGGAACCTTAACAATAATGACGTACAGCAGAATATTTTAGTCAAATAAAGATTCTTTCATGGAGAAGCAAGAATTCAGACCTGCAACAAGTATCTGTCAGCACTGAAGGCACAATTTTGTGATCTCTCAACAATTTTTGGGAGGGGATTGCACTCGCATGATCAAACTCCTCGTACTCTCTAGTTCGGCGTTCAAAAAGGGAAAAAAGAATCATAAGAATAAGTGACTTTTAATGGAAAAGCGAATTGATAGCAAATTGAAAATCTTTCAGTTACATGTTTCTTTTTCAACACCAAACTATTTTTTTTTTCTGCTGAACAGCATGTTCCCGATTGCGAAAACAAGAAGCCAACAAGCTTGACACGAACCAGTGAGAATGGAGACTAGGAATTAATTAATAGGGGGGTTAGGGGGGATTGGAGCAGTTAACTTACTGCAGGAAGCAGAACTCGGAAATGTCATTGGGTTTGCTTGGGGACATGTCTAACTGGGGGCAGGTGGAATGCAGAATGTTGACATGTTCCGGAACAAACATCTCATGTTTGCTCCCATTGTTGCCTTGGACTACAAAGGTGGTGATCACCGCGTGCAATGTATTGCAATTACAGCGGAAGTACATGCCAATCCAGACAGCGCACATGATCCGGCCACCCAGATGCGTGAGCAACCCATCATAGCCTTCCTTGAAAAAAGGAAGAAGACAATCAACCCTGGTAGGCGGCGCCATCCGGTATTGATCTTGATCCTGATCTTTGCACACAGCTTGTAGGCATAGACAGCACTGCCACTAAGAAAGTAGATGGTGTCATCTTCTTCCACGTACACACCACGCTCATGAATTGGGGTGTAACTGGAGTTCCGGCCCTCCTCGGTGGTGGCAACGGAAGCCAAGGTGTTGGTGGAGCAATCGAAGGTGAAGAAGCGGTGAGACGGTTGCATCGACAGTCTAGCAAGATGGTGCTGCCGACCACGGCATATCCCTGCAGGACGCGGCGGCCGGCCAAAGATCCTTGATCCTTCCGCCGTGGCAAGTCGATGCTAGCGACCTCCACCCACAAACCGTCATCCTTATCAAGGCGTAGCCGTAGCATCTCGAGGCGGGACGGGTCATAGTGTTTGGTGATGGTGAGGTACGGCGCCCAGAGATGGCCGGCTGCTGAGATTGGGCGGGTAGGCATGCCCGGCTTCAGTTCTGGCGGTAGGCCAGGAAGGGGGGATACGGTGATTCCTCTGTCGTCGTCGGCGGCGCCCAGGTTCAGGTTCAGCTGCAGGGGCCGAGCGGACACGATGTGGTCGAGATCGTCGAGCCATATTTCCCGACAGAAGAGGCAGAGCGAGCGGCCGTCGGGGCCCGGCGTCGCGCGCGCACTGGAGACGTGCGACGATGCGTCCTTGGCTTCGTAGTCGTAGTCGACGTCGTCCCAGATCTCGAGGGCATCGCTGCTCCGGCCAAGGACACGACCCGAGCGCGCGACGCGGAACCGGTGCAGGCGTAGCAAGCTTTCGCCCAGGGAGAAGCTCGAAAAGTAGCCGACGAGCAGCGACCACACGGCGCGGTCGTCTGCGCCGGCGGGCATGTTCTCGTAGTGAGCAGAACCTACGGCATTGGCAGAAGCATTGCCCAAATGTGCAGGTACTCCCCTTCCCCTCGGAAAGCGGCGGCGATGGCGGCGCCATGTATCGTGGACTTCCCAGTTTCTGCGGCTGGGCTGGGATTTGGGAGACGGAGAACCGGAGGCCAGACAGAGTATTTATTTTGCTATAACACGCGACATGGAGCGATCTCGACTTCCCTTGGGTGGGCCGTGTCCGGTCGGAACTCGGATATCACCGGACATACTTGCGGGAGAGGAACATCGTCCGACGGCAACCAAGCCGTGCTGCACCTGCACGCAGCTCTGCATCACGTATGCCGAGAAGTCCTTTTCCGTTTGCCCCTTCCTTTACCATCTCTTTTTCCATGCATACGCATACTTCGCTGCATGCTTAAAAACCTATATATTTCCTAGTTAACATATACTATATAAAAACAATTATGGCTAGTAATTAATTTCAAATAATATAATTGGTGAAACACGCTAATTTAATCATACTTAAATAATCTGTTTGTTTCATGTAAGCCAATGTTATTGTAGCCAACACCTTAACGCAAGAGACTGATCGAGGACCCAGCGAATTGCCCATTTCCATATATTTTTTTAAATGCTAACAATAATCAAATACTCCATCCACTCCAAATTATAAGACATTTTAGCTTTAACTTTTGCTACGCACCTAGATATATGTTATATCTAGATACATAATAAAAGCTATAAATTTAGAAAAATACCAAAACATCTTATAATTTGGGACGGCGAAGTATAAGATATATAACAATTATGAAATACAAGATATTATCTCGACTATAGTGATTGACTATAATGATACAATTAATTATGAAGGAATCGTGACGTCGAAGAGGAGTGAATTAGGCTTTCTAAAAAATTATTTATAAAATTATGATCTCTGTTTTCTACCTAGTCAAAACCTATGCAATAAATAAACTATCTAGATGTGCAACAAATATTTTGCTAAGTGTATTGCTATCTCTACCGTAAGAAGAGTTATGTGACCTATGTTTCAATGCTATAAACTAACCAATCAAACTAAGCTATAAACTAACCATGGCGGCGGCGTCGTGAGCGCGGCGTGCGTGTGCTCGGCTACGGCGTCCATGGGGCTAGGAGGGGTCTCAGCAGCGAGAGGCTCACAGTAGGTGTCGTAGACGATAGGATGGCGGTGCGGTGGCGGGTCGCGGCCGTGTAGCTCCGGAGGCAGTGCAGTGCAGTGTCGCCCGCTCCGGCTTCGGTGATCTTTCGGTCCTCCTCCCGGCAGCGGCTCCGCCCTCTTTGTTCTTCTCCTCCCCTCGGCCCTCGTGCTGGGTGGTCTGGTGGATGGCCACAAGTGGCGGCAGGGCGATGGAAGGGCGCTAGGGGCTCCCGGGCCGAGGCTTTTGTAGCCAGAGCTTTGGCCACGACATGGACAAGCGGCTGGAGATGGCCAGGTGCGCACGGAGGGCTGTGATCGCGTCGAGGCTAGGGCTACGGGGTCACGACGCGATCATGGGTGCGATGGCAAAATCAAATCTGCGCTCTGTGGTCGAGAAGGTGGGGGGACAGGGAGGGGGCAAGAGCATGGCTCGGCCATGGCCATGGCAGGCGCGCGACAGTGATCATGCATTGTGCGTGACCCTGTCGGGCAGCCGGTGCCTGCGTGGCATCCATCCAACGGCTTCGCAGTCGGTTGTGAGGCACGGATGGCGGAGAAGGGCTGAGGTGGCGTCGGATTCCCTCCCACGGCATCTGCGTTCTGTTTTTGCCGGAAACAGAGGAGGGGACCAAGGAAGGGGATGACGCCGGGGGTCCACTCGTCAGCCAGCGTGGGGACAAGGTGACGGCGTGGTGGCGTGCGGCTGGCTACGTGGGCCACGCGCGGTCGGGCCAGGCCTGCTGGTGGCTGCGTGGGCCAGCGAAGCCGGTGACGGCGAGCTAGGCCGGCTGGTGGTAGAAGGCAGGCTGGGCCGACTGGGCTGGTTTAGCTTTTTTTCTTTTTTTTCTATTTTGTTTCCCTTCTTCTTTATTTGAATTCCAATTTGATTTGGAATTTGAATTAAAAAATTAGTGTACCTTATTGGAGTTTTAGATATGAGGCCCACAACATTCTTTTATATATATATTAGGAATTTATTTAGCTATTTTGTATAACAAAAATAGGTGTAGTTTTGGTTATACAAAAATAGAATTAATTTTCTCTTTAAACCCTTATTCCTTAGTTTGAGTAATAATTACTTTTATGGTGTGTTTCTTTAAAGGAGTTGTTAAGCATAACACAAGGCAGATGGAAATCCAAATCACAATTGAGTTAACAATGTATGCAACACTTTATTTGTCAGTATTTAAATAAACACAGTTAATTGATGACATGACATGCTTATGTGTTGACTTAGGTTGGGGTTAGACCTAATGCACCTTTTAGGTTGGGTTTCTATACATGACACTCATCATCACATGGAAGTTTTGAGAAAATTTTTTTGTAGTTGGTATTTTTGGTGTATGGATTTTTGGGTTGTTACAGCTAGAGCATTGGGCTGTTTTTATGGTGCTCTAGATTCCTCTCCCTAAGGACTTATCTGTAAGCGAACATCTGAGACTTATAGTACAACTATGAGAGCTACATGGCTCTGGTTTTAGTCAAGTATGAGGACATTTTCTAGCTTGTTTGTGGTTACCTTTATGGCGCAAGAGGGGCTCTAATTGGTTTGATTTCGGCCAGCCAAGGGAGTGCACTTTTGTTTCCTTAGTCACCCCTTGGGGGAGGGGTCTCAGTGGTTGATGGGGAATCCTTAACAGCCCTAACTTGTTAGACGAACCTTTGAAAGGCTTCATAGTGAACCCTGATGACCTTCCTTGGTAGTGAGTTAAGAGGCTAATCACCTCGGGCGAAAGGGTAAATCACAACTCATAGTGAAAGTGTACAACCTCTACAGAGTGTAAAACTGGTATATCAGCCGTGCTCACGGTCACGAGTGGCCTTGGACCCTTATGGAATAGATGATGAACACTGATGATACGGATGATGAAGATGCTCACTAATGATTACTGTTTATGATATTCATTATTCATGTTTACCTAATCATGTATTTATATGGGCTTGTGATAAACTTGATACTGCATAACTGCTTAAAATCATGACTCATTAAAAGCTAATCGCAGTTAAACCAGTGTCATCTTTTTGAGCCTCATGAACCCCATGATATATTTGTTGAGTACAACATGTACTTACGCTTGCTTTATTTTTCAATTATTTGGATAAAAATTCTGGATGAATACCAGATTGCTAGAGTTTGGAGGAATTAGGCTTGTGATCAACCAGTCAGTTGTCCCTATGAAATTGGAGTCTTCACCCGAAGATCGGAGTTGTCTTTCCGTTGTTTGCTGTCTAAGGTTATATTCTTTATACTAAGTACATTATATATTGAGCATTGTATTTCGATATTACCCTTATTTGTAGCTATATATGAGATTTGACTTCCTGGGCTCACATATGGTGTGTATCTGGTTTTGTTCTTAAAACCGGGTGCTACATCAGTAATCCTTGGCTCCAGTCTTCAATAGTCACCAAACTGGGCACATTGGTCCGGTGCTCATCACCAAACTAATCCAATGGCTCTCTTTTTTGCCTCTAGAACCTCTTTGGTGGCGATCGCTTGGTTCGGTGTTGGCTTCCTCTAAGCACCGGACTAATCCGGTGATGCTTCAAACCCTAACCTGCATGGCTGCATCCCTAGTAACCGTATGGTCCAGTGCTACCCTCTGATGGACACCGAACTAATCAGATGATGTTGAATTAGCAGTAATGAGCTCGTTCTTCATGGTCTTTGTATCCGGGTTGCTTCCATCTTATGTCTTGAACTTCTTGCATGTCTTGTGGGTCTTCAACATGGCTTCTAACGTCTTGCTCAAGGTGTTGATCATCCAAATCATCCCCTTGGCTGAGTCTAAGTCCACCTTGCATTTATTTGAACTATACCTTGTATACTAGCAAACATCATTGCTCCAAAATGGTCATGTTGTTCATCAAACACCAAAATCAAACTTAAAGCCCAAACATCACCGAACGTCTTTATTGAGAGGGATGATAAAAGAGGGTTCCGAAAGGCTGCTTCCAAGACATCCAAGGATGGTGATATGTTGGTCAAGTTCATGCCAAAGGCCACGGTTTCTCAAATTATCTTAGAAAAGAAGGAATATTTGGGCTTAATAAGGATTTAACAAAAGTTTATAAAAAGGTGGATTTTTGGGCCATTACACATTTGATTATGCATAATGTTAACAAATGATTCACCCCCACAGCAAGGGTTCACCATTCGGTGCAAACAATGGCTTTGCAACACCTTCAGAAGGAACCATCTGTGAAACTAGGGATAGTCCTTTGTCCCTCTAGATGTAGCAAATGGGACCCTATGTGGTAGAGCCAATACTCGGACTGCTTCTCCCACTTGTTACAGTACACCAAGACTATAGATAGTGTGCCCCTCATCTTCCTAGGAACAAAAATTTCACAAACCATACCATGCCATGACCTAGGAGCTATTTTCTAGATCCACCACAAACTTTTTATGTTGTTGCATCTCATAAAATAGAGCAAAGCAGTCGGCACTAGCTTCACAACCATGCATTTTCACCAACATTGCAAAGGGACACATCCTCTCAAAAGCATTTGGTGTGAGCTCATGAAGTTGCACCCTAGACTTGACAAGAACTTAGCGAACAAACTTATCACATGGAATACAAAGTCCTGCCTTAAAGAAATCACAAAAATATGCAATTTCATCAGGACTTGGATCTAGAACCTCTTCCTCCCCGATACACAAACAACATCCTCATCGAGGATGTGTAGTGATAGTGACCGAGAGGATGTGTCGAAAGAATTAGCGTCAGCAATACCTTGGAGCTATTCGCATTAGATGAATCAGATGGGTAGCACACAAGACACATAGATTATACTAGTTTAGGCATAGATCAGGTATACGGGCGGT